AGTGTCTATTTATATTTAGTTAAAAGTGGCTGTAAAACATCAGCTCCAGTGGTGCAGATGGATAAGCGTGTGTCAACCGACTTTTTTGACGTGATCGACCCAGGTTCGATCCCGTTTTTTGCCGAACTTTTTTTCCTCCCTTTTCAAATCTCGTATTAGCAATGGATTCTATTTACACTAAGTGAAAATAGCAGTATTTTTAGCAATATGCTATTTACACTAAGAGCAAATAAATATTTACACTGTGTTAAAATAGCAGGATTTCTACTATCAAGTATACTACTTGTTGCAAATAGTGGCAATTATCTGCACTTCAGTATTGTAGTACATTATAAAACAGTATGCAATAACGTATTGAGTGTAAATTATAATTTTTATTGAAATTATTAAATGGATGCCACCTTATTGGTACAATAAAGCCCTCCCTACACCTACCCTAACCCTACCCGATACTTTATTTTCAACTTTTTGATTATTTCCTTCATTTTTATTGAAAATAAATGCCTTTACGATGTGATACGAGATTTGAAAAGGGAGGAAAAAAAGTTCGGCAAAAGGCGGGATCGAACCCGGGTCGATCATGTCAAAAAGCCAACGACACGCATTTATCCATCTGCGCCACTGGAGCTGATGTTTTACAGCCACTTTTAACTAAATGTAAACATACACTCCGTATTTTTTATTCCATAGTAAGGGCAATTCATACAATTTGTCTGATTTGTCGTTGTGTTTTCTGACTTGTTAATTTGTTTTCGAATTTGTCATTGTGTTTTCTGAATTGTTATAATGTTTACTGAATTGTTGTTGTGCTTTCTGAATAGTTATTTTGTTTTTTAGACTTGCATTTACTATATTATATATATATATATATATATATATATATAATCCAAAACTATAAAACATAAAATATGCCATAAAGCTCATCAAAAACCAGTCATTACAAATTTCTTCTTTTGTGTACCACCTAAGTCAGTCATGTTTGTTGAGTAGATGACAATTTAATTTTGGTGTTACTTTTGTATGAAAAAAAGTTTTAGTGCCATGCTGGGTCATCACCTGCCATCCACTTACCAGTCCTAAAGCAAAACCACTTAAAAAACAAACACTGATTTCAATAAACATAAAAAGGCTTATGTATGAAACATCCGTGACTAAAGCAAGCTAGAGCTTAGTAATGCATTTTGTTTTATTATATTTATCATTAAGAGGCACAAACAACTTTTCATAACTTCAAACTAACAGCAGACTTGTAAATGAAATAGATCTGTTGCCATGACACACTTTAGGGGGAAAACACAAGCTAAAGATACATAAATACCATTCACCGAGCAGCTGCTCCTTGCCTCAGCCACGAGGGATGAGGCTGGGAAGGGGAAAAACTGAAAGAGCAAGAAAAAGATCCAGCAAACTGCTTGCCTCTCCCTCAGTGAGCTACAACTCTGCAGCATAAGACCATCCATCATTTTATAACACTAAGCCATAAACACATCAGGCCAGACCAGCTGAAGGCCAAGGACAGACTTCTGGCAAACAAAGTCACTGTATTCACATTGAGACCTGTGGTAGCACAGTCTGATGTTGACTGATTGCACGACTATCATCGGCACAGCAAGACCTGGAGATCTGTAACTGGCTTCGAACACTCTCACCTGTGGCACCACAGCGTCTCGTGGCCCGGATATGACTCGATGAGATCAGTGCAGAGCTCCATCTCCTCGTGGAAGAGCTGAGGGATGACGTCATTATGGTGATTGTCATCAGACGCGCCCGCTGTGCTCTCTCCATTAGGCTGCTGGGTGGGGTGGAGCTCCGTCTCTCCAACCTGGCTCAGCTCTCTGGCCAGGGCCTTGAGCAGGTGTTGACGGTAGTGGAAGCCGCTGTGATCTGACACGTGCATGGACACCCACAGTCGGGTGGAGGACAGCTCATCATGCAGAACCTGGAGTATAAAAGTCACAGAGTATTTGATTAATTTATCACCATCATGATTCAGGCTGTTGCAGCTGAATTTTTTGTTCATTTTAGTTCAGCTGCCAAGTTGGAAGGGCAACGAATGTCAGCATATCAATCAATTTATTCAAATGCATTATGCAAATATATGCATATTATTATGCATTGTTCAAATATGCAAACAAAAAATAGTTACACCAATATTAAAATTCTGTTTGACAATGTTATAACAAATAACTGATAAATGGCTGATATTAAATATATACAACCATGTCTAAATAAATGGAAAAAAAAGTAATTTCTGCAGTGCTACAAAAATTAGATGCACCAATATTAAAATTCTTTTTGACGTTATAACCAAAAACTGATAAATGGATGAAATGAAACATACAACTTTGTCTAAATAAAAAGAAAAAAATATATATACATGTTCTACAGCACTGCAAAAATGAGATGCACCAACATTAAAATTCTTTTTGACATGTTTTAACCAATAACTGATGAATGGCTGATATTAAATGTATACAATTTTGTTTAAATAATTGAAAAATAAAACACTAAAACTAAAATCAATAACTTTAAATATCAACTGATGCATTAAAACATTATAATGTACATTAATAATAGATATTAATTTTGAGATTTGCTGAAGTTTATATTTAACAGTGTTATTAAAATATTAATGCTTATTAAGATTAACTTTAAGTGAGCATTAGATGTTTTAAAGGTAAAAATAAAGGAACTGAGCATGCATAATTAAATATCCAAGAGTATTTTAAAATAAAACATGACTCAGTAAACATTGTACTACAGTGATCTAGGATGGAAATTCAGACCAAGGAAAACAGTACCAAACAAGACATGCAGAGTTGCAACCCTCAACGGACACCTTGGCAATTGAATCGCCATTGGCTAGTATATATTTTTGTTTACTCGCCAGACTGAAATACTATACTATCTATATCGATATATATATATCTATATATATCTATATCTATATAGTGAAGATTTAGTCACATATGCGAGTGATTTACTCGCAATATAGAGGGTTGAGTTGTAAGACGACAGCCGCATAACCCAATTACTCCTGAAATAGCCTATGAAAAGCTCAGACTGGTTCAAGTCTGTTTAGTCCTGGATCATTAAATCTACAGGCTCATCCTTTTTATATGAGGGCTTTTAGCTTGGATTGAGCCCTGTAACATTTGCCTAATTTTGCATCCAAATAAGAAAGGATAAGCACATCAAAGGTCTGGCACTCAGTGAAAATAAATAAATGCTAAAAAGACAGAAAACTGTGGCATCTGTAATCAGGTCTCTTCCTAAGGTAATTCAAGTGGAGAAGAAAGGTATTAAGATCATCAAAGGCTCAGGTAGATTTATCAACCTCATAAATAACCATCTCATGTTGCTTTCCTTGTAACAACACTGATGATATGCCAGTGTGATCCATCATTCCTTAAAGTAATCTAAGACAAATCTAATCTTTGAAATGCACGCAAACAAAGCAACATCTAACAGACACCCGTTTTCAGTCATTATGATATATCACACAGATATAGTGCAGAAAGCTGCAGTGGACTGAGACGGCCTACCTTCAGATTGCCTTTAGCCATGTTTTGCAATACCCAGATGCGATGGGACCATGCATTGTAGTTGCTGGGGTAACGGCCGGCTGCGTCTGCACAGACCCTCATCTCCTCCTGCAAGGCTCTTTGCAGCCGCTCGCACTGTCTCCTCCTCACAGCGTCTCCTCTGGGTTCAGCCTGATCCTTCAGTTCTTGTCCAGAAGGAGAGCACTCCTTCTGCAGCCACTGTAATACCCAGCGCCTGCATTCACAACAAACCAATTAAGCAGACTGATCATCAACATATGCCAAGATGCACAAGGAATTTAACACTTACGGTTTTATTTGTGAGAGGGTAAAATCTGCAAATCGTGAAATGCCAAGACAATAACAAATAATACAATTAATTCTCTTTCATAACAGCTCTGAATCGCCCGATTATCTCAGCGCCCTGCGGCTGCTCAGCATCCTGGGAGATCTAATGGCTCAGTATTATCTGCAGACAATAACATCATCCAAACTGACATAGTGAATAGTAAAAACTTGAATTATTCGCAAAATATCTGACAGCTGCAATGTGTCCTGCACACTCCCTGCAGGTACATAAAGCTCTCGGTCTTGTCAGGTGCACAAGCTTTGGATATTTATTCCTGTTCTGTGTAAAGTGGTTTGCCCTTGTCCTTGCAGTAGTGACGAAATCCTACTTCAGTATGTGCCATTGTTGACATGTTGCAAGAGGTCTGCAATTGCAGACCGTTTCATTTCATGGTCTCCGCTTTCACTGTTTCAGCCAGTTTGAGAGCAAGGTCTCTTCCATACTAATTCAGCTACATGAAAGCAGAGCACATACATTTTCCAGTACCGCACATCAAACTATTCCATTATTAATTTCTTAATGCCTAATTTATTATTAGTTTTTTATATCACTATTTGAAAATTCAGACTCATCTAATCTAATGGTGAACTAAAAGTACTCTGGAAAATAGGACACTTGAAGGGTGCAGGACACAGCACTTCTATAATATGCCATCTTTAATATTTTAAAAGATCTCATTTAACTGTATAGCAGAATATCTTCAGAGTCACACAATGAACATTTAGTGCACTAAAGCAGATGCCTTTACTGGTGTTTACATTTATGCTACAAAATCATAGTTACCCAACAACAAAAGGCACTTTGCTTCATTTAAGACAGAGGTGCCCAACAATACAAATGGCCAAAAATCCTATTTGATTGAAGCAACTGAAAAAACATACAAATATTTAAAATAAAATTCAATTATATTCTCTACATTTTAATGCAAATTATATTATAAATTAAAATGAAGTTTTGCTTTTCTTTTTTTTCCCCACCATTCTTGTGATATGACACTGCAGGCCAAATCAAAGATTTGGAAATCTTACCTGTGAATCCATGTCTCTGGGCTTTTAGGATGCTTAGATAGTGCAAGTTTGCCCAGGTAAAGGTCCTTCTCTGGGTTTAACACGCCACATTGCAGGAGCTCTTTCCTATAAAACAATAAGCACCCAGATGAATTCACAAAGATACAACCATTAAATAAAATAGTACAGCACCACCTCCTGGACAATATGTTTCTTCTGTGCAACATTATCACAAAGACATTCAGCCAAGATTTTTGTGCAAAATCCTAGTAAAAAAAAAGCCTGAAAAAATAAAAATAAAAAATACAGTAAATAACATTAAAGATATTTTTTTTAAACAGGCATGGCATAAATATCTCTAGAGTGTTTCTTGGAATGGGACTATGGAACTAAATGTTGGAGAAATCAGTAAGTTCTGTGCTCACTATGCGAATTTTGAAAATCAAGTCACATTTAGAGTTAAATGTAGCAGCAGTCTTTTGATGTCCCCTTTCCCAAATTAGACAACTTTTTAAAAATAGCAACAGCACATTCAGAACAATAATAAGGCCGAAATCTAGACAGACATCAAAGAGAAGAAAAAGAGAATTTCTAAAAATACCACAGATGTGCATATAATCATTCAGAAAGTATGTGAAAGGGTTAGTTCAGTAAAATGTTTTTTTTTTTTTGTTCAGGTAATACAAGCATGTTGAAAATGTACCTGACATTCCACGCAGTGGTAAAGTCTGGGTTTAGGAGAAGCAATGTGCAGGTTATATCTACCAGTGCTTGAAGAGAAGAAGAGAGAGAAGTCCGTTTTTTCAGCAACGCTGGCCTTTTGTATGAACAGACATTTTTTAATAAAGACTAAGGTCACAGCAATGTGAGCCGGCCGAACAAGCTAACCCAATAAACCTTCATCCTACCTTCCCGATCGAGCCACTGCTTTCTCTGCCTGTACAGCAGGAGTTTATTATGCACATAGGGCAGCAGAAACTTGACACACCAGCTCTCCACTCCCAGCTTATTCTCCACCAAGACGATGGGGCTTCTGTTGTACCGGGCTTCGGGGCACGAAATGAGGCCAATTTCATCACTGTGAACACATTGTAAAAGATAAAAACGAAGAACAAGTCACATGGCTATTTTAAGAAACTCTGCTAAATACTAAGGAGCTGAAGGCAAACAGCAATGCATAAATCACCAAACATCTCAGCTGACACTGACTCATTACATACAAGAATGTCATAGGAGAAGAGTGAGATGAAACCATTGGGACAGGGCACTGACCCTATAAATATGGGACAAACAGACCCAACACACAGGCAACTTTAAAAAACAGACGAGATGCTTCATATGTGGACTGAAGAGATGTGTTTGGATACACAAGAGCAGCGATGTTGCAACCACTGATCGTCTCACCCGAATTACCAGTAAAAACAAACGGACACGGACAATTACTGAGAATTATGACTATAAATATAATGTATTAAAGCTCGCTACGCCCGCCAGTTAACGTTACTGACCAGCGACTAACAAATCCAAACATTCACAGTAACGTTACTAGCTACAACATGACAAGCATGCACACTTCGCGTTTCACTCAAGAGAAACTTTCGGCGTTTTCACGGTGCTTGTTAAATGGGCACCCCAGACACATTTTAACACGACCTGGTCTAAAAGCGAGGCTTGGTGAGCTCTCTCTGCTGCTGGCCGCTGGTTAGTAGCCGGTTAGCCAGCCGCTGTCTGTCTGCGCAAGTTAACGTTACACAGGCTGCTGCACTATGTTCTCCCTGCGGCTGAGCGCGAGGGTCCAGGCCGCTTTAAGCATTAAACTAGAGGACCGCGTGATAAACAACAATGCGAGTTCACATACGTACATGTTCGGGTTTCTTTTAAAGGCGTTATTGATATCTTTCACAACTCTCTGGACCAAGACATCCACCTCCTCTTCCGACTCAGCCATTTTCAGAGCTCGAGTGACGTCAACGCGGGTGACTCAACCTCATCCGGGACATTTCAGTCAGGGTTTGAGAGAAGTTGTTTTAGTAACCGTAAAGCGTACATTGTTGCTATGCAAAATTAGGAGATTATCTTGCTTTATCATAATACATAATTTAAAAAAGTCTACACGTTGCTGTGGCTACCGTTACTCGCCGTACTCGTACGCAAATCTTGTTACAACAAGGACGCCACTGAATGTTGGCGCAGAGACATTTGGAATCAATGAGAAGACAGGGGCATCTAACGTTATAACTCACTAAAAATACTAAATAAATAGGTAAACAATCCGAACCTCCATTTAAACGGGAGGTGGGATATTTCTCTTTTCCATCCAATCATATTTACAATTTCATTTTAGGGGCGGGGCATGTCCCAAATAAGCTCTTTGAGGATTGTCCAGCTAACATGGAACGTTCTCAGAACTGTGGCTAACGCTCTGGCAAAGTTATGAACAAATGTGTTTGCTATACAAATACTGTATATACATTGTTCATGGAACGATTTTACCCGAAACCTTTAGTTTGATTAACAGTTTTGAATGTAACTACTTGTTTCAGAATGTTTAACAAACATTCAAAAGTAATTTCCCATAATGTTTGCAAAATGTCAAAATGGAATGCTCCTTTAACCTTTGCATAACCAAGAAAAAAACGCTTTAAAAACATTTAAAAAAAAAACGGGACGTTTTGAACGTTCAGAGAACATTCAGAAACAATGTTTTCTTAACTTAATGAGAACGTTATAAAAACTTTTTTTATAGCATTCAGTAGGCTATATTTTGTTAGATGGGTGTCCTGCTCATAAACGCTGAAAATAAAGTGTAGGCTATTTACACACAATGTATGTTATGAAACTTCTTTAATAATAATAATGATAAAAAATAATAATTTGTTTCACCTGTGCTACATTTTTTCTAATAGGCCTACTTTGCAAATATGTTAAATTTAATTGATTATGCCTTCTTATCAAGACAAAGTCATGACATAACATGGCATTGCAGGTTATACTCTCTTTTATTTGTAGTAATATAGAAAACATTTATGATTTCTTTCTTCAATAATGTTAACTAATCATTACATTGTATGATGCTTAAAAGATTATCCATTAGTTTACATACAAACTGTTAAGACTAGTTCACACTTCCCCAACACATTTAAATATTCTAATGTTAACAGTTAGATGGAGTTGGATTATTTGACTTGTCCTGTAAATAGATTTTTTAAAAACACTCCTGTCATTGTGGGGTGCATATGCTTGTTGTTTCTGTTGGGACCAGGTTGACGTTACAGTGGTTACCAGTAGAGGGAGGCATGTGGGTTTTGGTCTGGGTCTGGTGTGTTGAGATGGTAATCTGGAACAGAATTGAATTACTCTTGACTGCATATTTCATCATGACAGTTTGTGTTCAGCAGATGAGCACATACCCGTACTTGATATGACATGATAAAAAGACTCTACAAAAAGTTTAAGTTACTTGCGTTACACCATCAATTCACATTTTCTAAACAGGAAAACAACCTCTAATGCTAAGCTAATTAGTTTATATTATGTAGATTTACTTACTGAGTTTTGTATTTTGTGTTGGCTTATCATTCTCTCTAAATGAAACTGTGGAAAAGTGAAGTTTTCCTGATGTTGGAGAAACAGGATGAAGTGTTTATCATCATAGCAGTCACAAATCTTTAAATACTCACAGAAGGTTTTTTTTTTATATAAAAATGTTCCACTCATTACACAATAGGTAACAAGAGTTCACTGTGATCCAGAAGATACAGCTTGCCTGTCACTGTTCTTTTGGCCTTGCTTTGGGTCATTATATTTGCAGGAGTTGTTGCATGATAAACTGAAAAGTAATCTAAAACTTTATGACTTCAGTATAAGAAATGGTATTAATTAAGACTAATATTTCATTTGGGATTTTGAAAGATCTAGCATCTCAAGTTCATCTGGAAAGATTTGCTTTTATCCTAACCTTAATAGACTTTACTGATTTGGATCATCTTTTTTTGGAATTGTGTTGGATTATTTTCCCCAGTATATTTGTACCAATAGTAGTAAAGTGCATTATTTCTCTTACATCATTGCACGAGTTGGCACAATGTGAAACAATATAAGTAGAAGAATATAATGCATTTCTCAGGTCATGCATGAAGGTCACCTATTTATTTTTTTTGCACTCTGTGACCAGATCTTTCCCTGGTTTGTTGTCTTCACAGATGATGCATCTGAAAGTCACTGATTACAAGAGCGTTGATGTTATGTGTCTTTATTTATCTCAAGGCTGTGTTTCCTCTCAACTACTACCTTATGGGTATCTCTCTCTTTCATTCCCTTAATAGGATAGTGCCCTAAATGTGGAGCTTATACCTTTGAGCCCCAAGGGACAGTATACACTCCAAAACAGTTGGGACAGTTTCTCCCAAAGCTTCTTCTCATTTTGAATGGGAAATAGAGATATGGAGAACTGGAGAGAGAATTTCCTGTGTTCATTTGTAGGCCATGCACAGAAATACAAGTAACCTTGAATTTGCGGAGCTGTCAGCATAATGTGTTTAACTAAATGCAAATGTTTTTGGGGTTACTGGTCATATAGTGACTGGTCATATTGTGCTATAAATAGATGCCAATCAAGACCACAATTGACAGGAAGCCTGATTTCATAAGACAACATACTCAACTGACTGACCTGACAGAAAAAAAAAAACGTAAAAAATTTAGGGGGATTGATGTTCAGTAGTGACCTAAAAACCTCACATAACATGCAAACATCATTTTTGAGAGCTTTTACTATTTTCTTTACGTTGTTCAATTTAACACCCATTTAATAAATTAATGCTTCAGCATGATCTCAAAAACCACCATGCCTCATGCTGCTGGTCATAGTCTTTACATTCTCTTTACATGATTTTAATTCGAGGTGGATCTTGTTCTCTTGCCAGACATATGCAAGCATTTTGGCACAGGCCTGTTGTTGCTATGGCTGATTTGTTGTGATACAACTCACAGAGAAGCATGACATCATTTTCCACTAGCAGAGAAATATGCAATATTACAGTGGAGACAACCACAGTATCCTGAGTGACCCACATAAAGTCTGCCTTTTGGAGGCATGCTGTAACCTTTGGAGATGCATAACTTTACACATTTACCTTCTTTAATCACTGGAGAAGATTGTTTCACTCTTCTAATATACACCTAAATTATTAAGTTTTTGTAAGTGACAATTACATGTTACAAAGGACATCATGTTGTCACTATACACTTTAAGACTTACTTGATGCTCTACATTTTGAGAAATCCAATCATTTCAATAGGAATTGCTTGGTTTGTGTGAGCTGTGATTTATACATCACTATAATGACAATAGATAAATAAAATTTTTCGCCTGCTTAATGCAATATCATTTAAATTATGTAATTAGATTGACCACATAAGGTCAGTGATAATATGGTGGTGAAATGGTTTTTTACAGTTTTTTAAAGGTGAAATGAGGTAAGCGCAGAAACTGAGGAAAAACTGTGTTTATTTCCAATGCTGCTCACTGTCTCCATCTTCCACTGAAATGGCATTTTACTCTTTGAAGTGCGAATGAATATCTACATGTATGAATTTGTTAAAGTAAAAACTTAAATTTAATAGAGGCCAAATGTTCCAAGAAAAAAAGAATGATCCAAATGTTTGGAAGCACCTCAGGTGTTATCAGAACATTTTTGTTATATCATATAGGAAAGTTTAATAGGGAAGACCTAAAACTGAAGAAAATGAAGCAATGGTGA